CACACACACACACACACACACACACACACACACACACACAGACACACACTTTTTAAAGCTAACAGAAATAAATAATTCTATAATAAGATCTGTGAAGTGAAGAGGCTTAATGTACTCATTGTGTTCATCCTTGTTTTCCCTCTTGGATATTTTGTATTAATTAGAAGCAAGCAATTTGATCTCTGTCAAGCAATCAATTTGCATCCTGTTCCTCACTCCATGTGAGATGTTAATGTGCTCCTTCCATCTCTTTTTTTAAATACTGGATGTCAAACAAAGATAAAAACGTGTCAATTAAAAGCTTTAAGCTTTGGTTTGAACTCCTAAATTTGATCTCCCAAACGATAAAGCTAAACGATGAAAAAGTTGGGAAAAAAGTTAAGTTAAAAATGTGTTTTTTTTTCTTTCTGTTATAGATAATGAATTACATGATCACATCCTGAGAGATAACAAGCGTGAAAGCATCAGCTGGGGTGAACAGAGTGGATCTGGCATCTTATTCTACAGAGCGCTCAGAAAACTGCATTCAGAGGTAAATAATCAGTTGCTAAAGTGGCCCGACAGAGCTTCAATTCCAAAGCAAATTTGAAATAAATAAATAAATAAATAAATAAATAAATAAAACAGGAAAGTTTTGTTAGAAAGAAAAAAATATGCAAATGATTACCATTTGGAATCGAAGCATGTAAGTGGTGAACACTAACTGATGTTTTTTATTTTTTTTATATAAAAAGCTGTGTGCATTTGGTCAATTTAAAACTCGTTGAAATGCTCTGAAACTTTTATACGTATGCATGTTTCTCATCAACGTCTAAACTGTTTTACAAAAACAGAAAAGCAGACCTAAGTGACACTTTTCTGAAACGTTCAAATGTTGATACACCACGTCATGAACAATCAAAAGAGTGGAAGAAAGGTAGAAAATTAAATGTGTACAATGCGGGTTATATAAAGCTTTTTTTCTGTAAAAGAAAATGTTTTGTTTAGTAAAACATCCCTGTTCTCAGGGTTTCACATTTGCATCTGGAAAAAAAAACATCCTAAATATTCCGCATGATAAAAAGAAACCACACGTTTCTTATGAAACAAGCCGAGGGAACAACATTTAGATGGGGAATGAGTTTTGTTGTGCATTACTATAAATACACACACACCTACACACACACACACACACACACACACAC